GCACACCTTTCCGTTGCCGTTTCCAGTGGTCGGCCTTTCCGCTTCCGGTGCTCGGCCTTCCGTTTCCAGGGTTGGGAACAGCGCTTCCAGGATTGGGAACCACGTTTTCCAGGGTTGGGATAACAGCGTTTCCAAGGTTGGCGGGTGCTCAGAGTTCCCCCGTTGGGACCTCCTTTCTCGGGTTGGGATTTTGACCGGCCCTGCCTGGACGAGACCGCACTGCCGAGGGCCAGCACCGCAGCCCCCCCTTGGGAGCACGGCCTGATCCAGGGGCAGATTTGGGACCTGTTGGCTCGGACGGCCCTGGCCCAGCAGGCGCGCGTCGGTCCTAACCTGTCCAGTCTGTCGGCTGCTCTGCTCTTCTCCGCCTCTGTGCCTGCCCTCGTTCTGGTCGCGCTTGGAATCGGCCCCCGTGTCACAAACAGTCAGCGTCCGACAGACCGACCGAAGAGATAGACGAAGAGGCGGAGGTGGGAGGGGGCGGGAGGAGAGGGGAAGGAACGTTAAAAAAAGAGGGGAGGAGGAGCAAAAGTGGGACGAGGCGTGGCGCACCTCAAGCGTACATGAGGAAGCGGAGGGGTAGGAGAAGGAAGAGGAGGGCGAGGACGGGGGGAAGGGGGAGGAGAAGGAGGAGGAGGAGGAGGAGGAAGAGGAGGAGGAGGAGGAGGAGGAGGTGGGAGAGAAGACGAAAAGGCGTTGTAATTGAACGGTTTGCGAAAATCACTGGCTGCCTGTTGGGAATGTTGCGGAGCATGACCGTCTTCCGCTCATGCAGCGGGAGCTCCCTAATCACTTCGCTGTCGTTTGCCGGACCTGGCGGGCAGCGCGGAGCGGGTGAGCAGCGACAGCACAGAGGCATGGCAGAAAGGCTGCATAGGCAAAAGGTGGCACATGCAGGACAGAGGCCCTTGACGAAACGAAAGAGGGAGCGGAAGGGGGGAGGGGAACTGGTCGACGGTTACGCGGACAGGAGGACAACTGCAACCAGAAAGTACGAGTGCGCTCGCGCACGCGGGCATACAGTCGCCCTCGCACACGCACTACACGCATTCCCCCATACACTCATGCGCCGAAACATGCACACACACACACACACACATGCTTGCACAAAAATATCATGATACCAGAAAAATCCAATCAGGGCTATAGGGCTAGGGGGCTATAGGGCTATAGGGCTATTGAGCTATAGGGCTATAGAGGTATAGGGCAATAGCGTTGTAGGGCTATAGGGCTATTGGGCTATTGGGCGATTGGGCTATTGGGCTATAGGGCTATAGGGCTATAGGGCACCCCCGGGCACACCCGGGCACGCCCGGGCACGCCCGGGCACCCGGGCACCCGGGCACCCGGGCCCCCGGGCACCCCCGGGCACCCCCCGGGCACCCGGGCCCCGGGCACCCCCGGGCACCCCCGGGCACCCGGGCATCCGGGCGTGCAGCGAAAATCGGCGACAAACCTAACCTAACAATATGAATCCGCTAGGACCCCTACAGAGGCAAGCTCTGATTGGTGAATTAAGATGCAAGCGTATCTGAGTGATCATGTACGCACGTAACCGCGGACATGCGTGCCAAAGCGCCCTTTGACATACATGCCCCCACCCAAGCACACATCTTACTACGAGGCCAGTTGGTCCAAGCCAGCGAGGGCGCGAGCAGGCTGTTTCAATCCGTCCAACACACACACACACACACACGCACGCACGCACGCACGCACGCACGCACGCACGCACGCACGCACATACACACACACACACACACACACACTCTTTAAGTCGGCGGAGCAGACGGTCCTCAGGCGCGACCTGTGGATGAGACACACACACACACACACACACTTCTCGGGCGCACACAATCGAGGAGACGAGCCGCTCAGCCGATTCATGCAGGCACAGCCAGGCTCAGCGGACTGGAGCCCGGCGAAGCGCGGCAAGCGACACCAAGCGAGGCAAGCCGACAACCGGCCGGCCCAGCAGGACACGCACGCACACACTTCTCTGGCGTCGCGGCCGCGCCGCGCGGCAGCGCCGCGCAGGTCAAGGGAGCGCGCGGGCCAGGCCAGCGCACGCAGCGTGGAGAAGCTGGATCCGCCCATGGGGGATCGACGGCAACACTCGCGCGGGGGCGGTCGCGAGAGAAGAGGGGAGCGAGGGAAGAGAGACAGGGAAGCGAGGAGCGGAGCAGCAGTACGGCAGTGACGAGCCGAGGCACCAAGCGAGGCGCAGCAGGAGGGCGGCAACGGCAGTCGACCACAAGGGAGAAACAAGGCAACGTGAGGAGATCCCGGACCAGGGAGCACCGTGGGGAAACAACAAGGAGGACGACAGAGAGAACCCAAGCGAGGAGGGGTAAGGCGACAGCGGCGCCCGAGGCAGAACGGGAAAGCAGGAGCAGGACGGACCGATCCCACAGGGAGAGGCACTAGACCTGACTACCTACCAGACCACCCCAACCAAACCCGAAGACCCGAATCTCAGGGTGGGGTACGGGTTCCATCCGTGGTTTTGTCCACGTGCCCCGACGCCCCCCCCCCACGCTGGGAATGGAGGTCTAATGGGGGCCTTCGGGTTGGGTTGGGGTGGTCCGGGGGGTGGTGAAGGCCCCTGGCTTTAGGTCGGGCATGTCCTCCGACAGGCGGATTCTGGAAGAAAAACAACAAACATTCAACCAAATCAGAAAAGAATCCAAAGAGCAGGAAAGATCACCCCCAGACTGATTGTTTACTACTCTTGAATGTTCCTCCTGTAGAGGGACATGCCCAACTTACCCCTGGCTGCCTCCCGAGCATCGGGAGGCAGCACGGGCGGGGGACCGCCGCCGCGAGGAGCGGTGCAGGGGGCGAAGGGGGCACCACAGAGGGGGGGGGGGGGCCCGAGGGCAGGCCCCACTTTGCCCTCCGTTCCCAGTGGAGGGGGGAGGGGGGGGCGTCGGGGCACGTGGAGAAAAAACACGGGCGGGACCCGCACCGCCCCCCCACCCCCACCCCGAAATTCGGGTCTTCGGGTTGGGCTGGAGTGGTCTGGGGGTGGTGAAGACCCCGGCTGCCTCACCAGGAGTAGGTCGGGCATGGCCCCCTACAGGCGGATGTTGGACGAAGAATTCAAAATGGACCAGAAAATACTCAACCCAATTGCTACGTGTTAATATAATATAGAAAAGAACAAAACAACCAAAGAAAAACATGTTAAAAACAAAACAAAAGAAGAAGAAAAAAAAAAAAAAAAAAAAAAAAAAAAAAAAAAAAAAAAAAAAAAAAAAAAACGTCCCAGTACTATGTTTTAACAATTTTTGAATGTTCCTCCTGTAGAGGGAGGCCAGGACTTGAGTCGGGACAGGCCCGACTTGAGCCCAACATCCTTGAATGTTCCTCCTCAAGTCGGGACAGGCCCGACTTGAGCCCAGGATCGGGAGGCAGCACGGGCGGGGGACCGCCGCCGAGAGGGGCGGGTGCGGAGGCGCAGAGGAGGCGCCACGGAGCGAGGGCGGCCCGGGAGGGCAGGAGGGGGCGGGCGGCACCCTCGCAGGCCAGGCTCCGGGGGGCGGACGGGGCAGAGGGCGGGGCGGCGGCAGCGTCCCCGAGAGGGGGGGCCGAAGCCCGCGAGGGGGGGGGTCGGCTGCACGCAAGAGCGACCTTTGGTGTCCGGCATGTGAAGAAAGGGGAGAAGGAAAAGGAGAAGGAGAAGAAGAATAAGAAGAAGAAGAAGAAGAGACGCCATAAACTTCTGGCGCTCCGCGCGGGTTCCTTGGATCCGCGCTGTGCCCCTCTCCCTGGCGCGCGGAGCGCGCCAGGGGCGGCGCTGAAGACGCCGCCGAGGGGGGCCCAGCGCAGGGGCAAGAAATCCACGCGGGGCGCCAAAAGTTGATGTTCATGCCGTTTTTTCTGGTTCGATTTTGGGGGGGGCACGGGGGGACCAAACACACAAGCGCGCAAGACGCTCGAACTAGACACGCGAGTTCAATAGAACCCCCACACGCACCTACATCAGCAGATTTGTCAACATCAGCGTCGACATTCCCATTAACCGCCGCATCAACATCTACCTCAGCATCTACAACAACCAATTGAAATACTCCAGAACGCTGGACTGCTAACGACCTTAACTACCCCTACCACTACCACTACCACTACCACTACCACTACCACTACCACTACCACTACCACTACCACTACCACTACTACTTCCACTACCAACTGCTACTTCTACTTCTTCAAATACTACTACTAAACATGACAACTACTATGACAAAAACTACTACTACTACTACTACTACTACTACTACTACTACTACTACTACTACTACTACTACTACTAGTAGTAGTAGTATTACCACTACTACTAGTATTACTACTCCGACTACTACCACGACTACTACTACTACGACTGCGACTACTACTACTACTACTACTACTACTACTACTACTACGACTACGACTACGACTACTACTACTACTACTACTACTACTACTACTACTACTACTACTACTACTACTACTACTACTACTACTACTACTACTACTACTACTACTACTACTACTACTACTACTACTACTACTACTACTACTACTACTACTACTACTACTACTACTACTACTACTACTACTACTACTACTACTACTACTACTACTACTACTACTACTGCTACTACTACTACTACTACTACTACTACTACTACTACTACTACTACTACTACTACTACTACTACTACTACTACTACTACTACTACTACTACTACTACTACTACTACTACTACTACTACTACTACTACTACTACTACTACTACTACTACTACTACTACTACTACGGCTACTACTACTACTACTACTACTACTACTACTACCACTACTGCTGCTACGACTACTAATAATACTAATTATGTTGCTACTACGACTAATACGACCACTACTACTACTACTACTACTACTACTACTACTACTACTACTACTACTACTACTACTACTTCTACCACTACTACTACTACTACTACTACTACTACTACTAC